GAGAAGAAGTCTCAACTTGAGAAGAAGGACGCCGAGGCCAACGAGAAGCTGCAGCGCATGGTTGCAGACCAGAGAGAGGCTGAACAGAGAAAGAACACCTCGTTGGAGATTCAGGTCGCACTCGAGAAACAAGAAGCTGAGGTGGCCTCGCGAAGAACGGTTGTGCTGGAAGACCTCGCCAAGGCTGAACCCGCCGTTGAAGAGGCCAAGGCCAGTGTTAGCAACATCAAGCGTCAACATCTTACCGAAGTCCGGTCCATGGGTAACCCGCCCCAGGGTGTCAGATTGGCTCTTGAGTCTGTCTGTGCCCTGCTCGGTCACAAGGTCAACGACTGGAGAACGATTCAAGGTATTATCCGTCGCGACGACTTCATTGCCAGCATTGTCAACTTTGACAACGAACGTCAAATGACCAAGGCTCTGCGTACCAAGATGCGCAATGACTTCTTGTCGATCCCCGAATTCACTTTCGACAAGGTCAACCGCGCCAGTAAGGCCTGTGGTCCTTTGGTGCAATGGGTTGAGGCGCAGGTCTTGTACTCCGAGATTCTCGATCGTGTCGGTCCTCTGAGGGACGAAGTCGACGCGCTTGAGGAGACCGCTCTGCAAACCAAGGCCGAGGCCAAGGCTGTTGAAAACACCATCAACACCCTCGAGTCTAGCATCGCCCAGTACAAGACGGAGTATGCTGCACTCATCAGCGAGACGCAAGCCATCAAGTCTGAGATGTCCAAGGTCCAGTTCAAGGTCGACAGGAGTGTCAAGTTGCTCGACAGTCTTTCGTCTGAGAGAGTCCGTTGGGAAGAGGGCAGCAAGTCTTTCGAGACCCAGATCAGCACGCTCGTTGGTGATGTCCTCGTTGCGGCAGCCTTCCTCGCTTACAGTGGTCTTTACGATCAAACTTTCCGAAAGTCCATGATGGATGACTGGTTGCACCAGCTGCAGCTGTCTGGTGTGCTATACAAGCAACACAACCCAGTCACCGAGTACCTGTCGACTGCTGATGAGCGTCTCAGCTGGCAAGAGAACAGCCTGCCGGTTGACGATCTGTGCACGGAGAACGCCATCGTCCTCAAACGATTCAACCGCTACCCTCTGATCATCGATCCCTCTGGCCGAGTCACCGAGTTCTTGCAGAAGGAGAGCAAGGACCGTCGTTTGACAGTCACCAGTTTCTTGGATGACTCGTTCACCAAGCAATTGGAGAGTTCCCTCCGTTTCGGCAACCCCATCCTCATCCAGGATGCCGAGTACCTCGATCCCATCCTCAACCACGTCCTCAACAAGGAATACCAGAAGACTGGTGGTCGTGTCCTTATTCAGCTTGGAAAGCAGCAGATTGATTTCTCGCCATCCTTCAAGATTTATCTGTCGACTCGCGACCCGTCGGCAACCTTTGCTCCCGATATCTGCTCTAGGACCACATTTGTCAATTTCACGGTCACCCAGAGCAGTCTTCAGACCCAGTCCCTTAATGACGTACTGAAGTCGGAGAGACCGGATGTCGACGAGCGGCGATCTAACCTTATCAAGCTCCAGGGAGAGTTCAAGATTCATCTGCGACAGTTGGAGAAGCGTCTTTTGCAAGCTCTCAACGAGTCTCGCGGAAACATTCTCGATGACGACAACGTCATTGAGACCCTGGAGACATTGAAGACGGAGGCTGCGGAAATTTCGGACAAGATGAGTAACACTGAGGGCGTCATGGCTGAAGTCGAAGAGATTACCCAGCAGTACAGCATCATTGCCCGCTCCTGCAGTACTGTGTTTGCTGTGCTGGAGCAACTTCATTACCTCAACCACTTTTACCAGTTCTCGCTCCAGTACTTCCTCGACATTTTCCATTCTGTTCTGCATGGCAACAAGAATCTCGCCAACGAGACGAACCACAACATTCGGCGAGACATCATTGTCAAGGACCTGTTTATCACCGCCTTCAAGCGGACTGCGCTTGGCCTGCTCCAAAAGGACCGAATCACGCTGGCCATGCTGCTTGCGCAGGCTTCGCCCTACAAGATGGACAAGACGCTGATCGACGTCATCCTTGATGATCGTGTGGAAGGCAAGGATCTCTCTACCGACAAGGATGCCAAGGAAGAGGCTTTCACCCGAGCTGGTCGCATGAGCGTGCTCAAGGACAAGCTTGATGCTGTTCCGTCTGCCGACTGGGACAAGTTCCTGACCGAGGAGCTTGCCGAAAACTTTGTTCCCCAGATCTGGGACGACAGCACGGAGGCCTTTGACCAGGCTCTACAATCTCTGCTCCTCGTCAAGCTCTTCCGTCTCGATCGCTTCGTCCCCGCTGCCGAGCGATTTGTCACTCTGGTCTTTGGCTCCGACACTTTTGACGTCGTCGAGGATCTCAAGGAGACGGTTAGCCAGGTTCCCGCCACCAGACCGATTTCTCTGGTCTCCAGCCCTGGTTTCGATGCCAGTTACAAGGTGGACAATCTCGTTGAGAGACTTCGCGTCAAGTGCACCAACATTGCCATGGGTTCCAACGAGGGTCTCGCGAGTGCCGACAAGGCCATCAACAACGCTGCGCAGTTGGGCAACTGGGTCTTGGTCAAGAACGTACATCTCGCGCCTACATGGCTGCAGAGTCTCGAGAAGCGCATGGAGTCTCTCAACCCCCACTCCGAGTTCCGCCTTTTCCTGTCGATGGAGTCGAGTCCCAAGATCCCCGTCAACTTGCTGCGCGCCTCCAGAGTTCTCATGTACGAGCAGCCCGCCGGTGTGCGTGCCAACATGAAGGACTCCATGTCTTCCTTGTCTACGAGAGGTGCCAAGGCACCCGTGGAGCGCACAAGATTGTATCTGCTGCTTGCCTTCTTGCATGCAGTCGTGCAAGAGCGTCTGCGCTACGCCCCAAGCCTGGGATGGAAGTGCTTCTGGGAGTTCAATGACAGTGACGTAAGTTTTATATCAGAGTGAACATGGAATGCATAAGCTAACCTTCTCAGTACGAATGCTCGGCATTCATCATTGACACCTGGATCGAAAACGCTGCCGGCACCCGCACGAACATTGCACCTCAGAGCATCCCTTGGGAGATGATCCGCTACCTCGTCACGGAAACCTACGGTGGCAAGATTGACAACGAGGGAGATTTCAAGCAGCTAAACCAGCTGGTGCACTCATTCCTGACGCCATCTGCCTACGACGTCGGACACAAGCTCGTCGAGGGCACAGAGAACCAGGAAGGCAGCCTCGTTGTGCCGTCGGGTACCTCTCTGTCAGACTTTATGGCCTGGATCCACAAGCTGCCGGAGCGCGAGCCGCCTACGTACCTAGGCCTGCCCGCCAACGCAGAGAAGCTGCTCCTGGTCGGTCTTGGACGAAGCCTTATTGGTAACTTGAAGAAGGTCACGGAGTTGCTGGAGGAAGGAGAGCAGCTCATGGTTGAGGCCTAGTGAGCTGATGCCGGGGGAGCGAGGGTGGATGAAAGGAGGACATTGACAATTCCCCGATTACAGGGATTGCTTCTTTTTTCTTTTGTGTCAAGAGAGAATTGGTAGAGGCCGTCTTGATTGCGAAGTTTTAAGAGTGCGTGGCATCATTGCCGACTTTTCCTTGCTCTAGAAGTACTCGGCGTGGTAATGGGCGTAGAAATCATTGCAAAGGGAGTGGATTACTTTGTTGTTGCAGATATTACTTATACACTGATACCCTAAATTCCAGATTGTTTTCTATTATCTCAAGCGGTCATTTTGTCAGTTGGTGGTTGCATGGTTTGATGAATGTGCGAAGACTCGAGTTTTGGCCGGCATTGTTGAGTTGCACCTCTGGTTCATGATGCATGCATGCACCCTTCGAAATAAGACGCGACCAAAAGAAAGGGGAGGAGGGGGTAGACCAGGACTACCATTGTAGAGACTCAAAGGTTGAAATTCAAAAGAAAAGGCAAAAGGATTGATTACTCGTAATCTGTGATCAGATTACCGACGACCAACCTGGGACTCGAACCCAGAATCTTCGGATGAGTTTGTATTCCTCATAGGAATCCGACGCCTTAGCCATTAGGCCAGCCGGCCTGCCAGGATCTTGTTCTGTTGAAGCGAGGGGCGGAAGTTGGGGCCTATCTTTCGCTTGGGGGCCGGCGGTAGGCGGTAGCGGGTGTGCGTGCCTGCTGTGTGGGTTTGCGGCTTTAGTGGAGTGTTATCTGCTCTGTCCTTTTGGTCCGCTGTGCGTGCGGGTTGGGCTTGGGCGGGGGCCTGCTGTGGTGAGGTGGAGCCTTTTTTGTTGTCCTTGTGTGGTGCTGGTGGGGTTGACCTGCTTTTTGGTTGTCGTTGTAGGGGCGTGGAGGATCGTGTGTTTGGAAGAAGGAAAGAAAAATCCCTTTCTGGGCGCCTTGCGCAGACGAGGAAGGAAGAAAATGAAGAGAGAAGATGTGAAAAATGGTAAGATGGTAAGATGGGAGGGTAGGTGTGCGGCGGGCTTAAGTGACTCCTTCAAGGCTGTTTGGCATGAAGTGGTGTGGGAGAGGAATTGCGCGGACGAGCCGGCACATATTGATATTTGTATTCCAACGTGTGGAAATAATAACCACATCCCCACATCTTGGGGAAAGGGGTATGATAACCTGATTGCATGTATACCTATGTGACAGCGCTTAGGTAGTAAAGGAGACAGACAGTTGGGGAAACGAGTTGGACTTGTCGATCGAGCAAAGCGAGAGCAAACGTGGCAAGCGACTGCCTTGAGTCTTGATATTTACAATGCCATGGAAAGAGGGCCTATAACACAAAATCACCTACACCTACATCGAGTCCCATGACATGTTCTACAAATACACCTTTTTCCCATCCTCCGGCCCAGGGAATCTCCCCGTTGGCCTCTCAAATCGTGACGCCCTCAATGCTTAACGACATTATCCTTTTCAGCGGCCTTCTCCTCAGCCTTCTCAGCAGCCGTCACCTTACCCGTCTCCTCAACCTTCTCGTCCGCCTTCGTCTCAACCTCCTCCGCCTTCCGCTTCTCAGCCCTCACCCTCGCCATCCTCACTTCTCACGATTCTTCTTCCTTTGCTCTTCAGCCTCGGCCTTCCACGCCCGCCACGCCTTAAACTCCTCAAACTCCTCGTAGCTCATCTTGACCTCCACAGCCGCCTCCGCCGCCCTCGCACTCTTCTCCTCCTTCTCAGCCTCGGCGTCGCGGGAACCGCCGCGCTTCTTGCTCTCCTCGCGCTCCTCGGGCTGCTTGCGACTCGGGTACCCGTCGCCTTGGGCCTCAAAGGCCAGACACACGGCCGTGGCGTAGTCCCCGTCGTGGCTGATGGATACCAGCACCTCCTGCCCGGGCATCCCTTCGTGCAGGCTGCGCACGATGGCGATGGGCGGGCCGCTTCCATTGGGGGTTGATGCGGGTGGTTCCGTCTCCTTGGCCTTCCTCTGCCCCTCAATATCCTTCAGCTGCGCGGATTGCTTCCGGACAATGGTGATGTCGTGCCACGTTAGATTCCTCGTGGGGTGTGCTTTGAATGTCGCTTCCTTGGCTGCGAATCTGTGCCCATGATAGGTTGAAGACGTGAGCTTTTCGCACACGCTCAATTGACCGAGGAGAGAGATGAACTCGGGATCGAAAGCTTACCTGCCAGCTAGGAAGCTAGCCTTCTTCCATAAAAGCGGGTTGCGCTTCTTCAGCGCCTGAAAGTCGTCATCTTTGGGAATCTCGGACGGCGTCGCTGATGCATCAGCCGACTTCAGGTGGGCAGGGATTGCAAGGCGCTCATCCTGGGTGAGGATGCGACGGAGAAAGCTGGACTCCTTGTCGCTGGCCAGAATCCGGTAGATGCGGGAGATTTGACACAAGTCAGTCCCTAGTTGCAGAGGAAATGGAAACCTCTTGGGCGGCAGCATGAGGAACAAGTTCGGGAATCAAAAAAAGTGTGGAGATCTTCAATTGGCATCCGTAAACTCAAGCTGCAACAATGGCAATTGATAGATTCACTGCCAGGGGGTTCGAGGTACCTTAATCCGTTCCACCTTCAGTTCTAAGCTAAGATAAGGCACCTAGGTAGATACCTCGCCACTACCTTAGGTAAGGTAGCTCAGGTAAGGTGGTTCGAACCGATAAGAAAGCTCCAAAGCGATAACGATAACGATAAGACCATGGCTACGTCATTCCTCCCCGTCCTCTCCTTCCTAAGTCGAAAAACAACATGGGGAATTATTGTGCTTCGCATGCATGGCCATTAAAAATGCCATGTACATTCCATACCGAAAACAGAATCAGTTGTCGCAACCATCTCGGAACGAGAACAACTTTTTTGTCACCAATGAATCTGTCATAGGCGGCTTCTAATCACACTTCAGCTCGGCCTGCTCCTCTCGTGTAGTGAGGGGTGCTTCTGTCGCGAGAATACGCCATTGCGCAAACTTTGGTATCGAGCGTCCAATGTGAACATAATGACATTTACTGGTCATCGGCAAGAAGGGGAGCGCGCTCCGAGTCGGCAGTGCGGCTCCTCCAGGGGTAGTCTTTGCCAGTCGCAGCCGGGTAGGCAATTACGAGAGTCGAGACGAACAGCACGGCCATGATGGTGAAAGCAAAGATCCACTGGAAGGCAATGACTTGGCGGCCGAACTGCGCAACGCCAATGGCGGCGGACAGGACGCTGAGAGAAAATCCCATGGTGTAATCCTGAAATATGATCAGTCAGTGAGTGTCGGAGCGTCGTAGGCGCATATTCGCTCTTACCTTGTAGGTGACGATGAAGAAACCTCCGTAAACCAGAATGGACCAGATGAAGATGTTGCCAAAGATGCGGGCAACTAGGTTGTGGGGGTGGGGGACCATGATGGCGCCGTTCCAGTAGATAGCCACGAACGTCCAGGCCAGAGGAGCGGAAACGACAGGCCAGTGGATGAAGCGAGGGTACGTGTTGTGACGGAAGTAGAGAGACGACAGGTTGGCGAAGTTGACGATCAGGATGAACTCAGCCCAGCCGAAGTGGGAGCGCACAAACAACATGACAAAGGCGAAGTGCAGAAGGTTGTTGAAGATGAAGTGCGATCCGACGCTGGCGGCGGCGTTGACATAGTCGCTGTTGCTCGAGAAGAGGTGTCCGACGTAGCCGATTTGGAGGATGAAGAGAACGACCCTGGACGATGTTAGAAGTGGCACACACCTGAAAGGGCGAGACGGAATTTACCAGTATATGTCGATGATTGTGGAATTCAGAGTGAAGGCAGTGCGGTAGAGGTAGTTCTGGTCCCAAATTCGTCTCCGAATCGTGAAGCCATCGTGGGGCTCATTGACCGTGTAGTAGATCGTGACTACGAAAGCCAAGAGCCAACTCAGAATAGTCAAGACCTTGTAGGTGGTGATGGAGGCGGCAGTATGAGACTCCTTCTTGGAGAAGGGGTTCACTGGAGTAAATGTCAGCACAAACGAATAGTTGCATACACCGAGGACGGACGATAGCTTACGGGCGTGAATGCGCTCTGTTGCGGTAGGCATCTTGAAGGATGATGATTTTCCGGTGTTGAATCCTCAGTGGCCACGCAATCTGCGGAGTTTGCAAGTCTTCTGGTGTTGCACAAAAAGTTGTTGATGGCAGCAGAAGCTTGGAAGTAGCAAAAAGGCACGAGCTGAGGAGGGCGGTGGTGGCTTATAAGCGAGGGACGCAGGAAGCAGGAAGCATGGGGTTGGTAGATGGGACGTTAAATCTGCGGGGAAAGCAGCTCGCCACAAGCACATTAGCGTGTAACGACTAACGCGGATGTAGACGGTAGACCTGAAGAGAGGTTCCTTCCTTGCTGCAGCGGTCCTCGTCCTCCAAGGCTGGCTAGGTATGGAGGCAGGAGGCAGGAGGATGGGGAGGAGGTACTGTTCCGGACCCGACTGCGGGCCCTCAGTGCCTACCTGAGGACCTTGGGTAACTACTCCGTACAGATTCCAGGCTGGGGCGGGATACATGGACGACTGAGCAAATGAGATGGGATGGCTTGGGCGTGCTTGTTTGGGCTTGTTTGGACGCCTCGCTTGATCAAGTAGGCTACGGGCTGGCGCCTAGAGGATGTTACTACCGATTGGCTGTCTCGTGCAGCACGCAAGTCAATGGGTGACCTCTTCGGTCAATGATCCTTTTTGGAGACATGAGGACGATGTACCAGGTAGCCGTGCTGTCCCACTACCTTGACCTTGAGGTATCATAGGTAGACGAATTCAAGAAGCATTGGGTAAGAACAGCAAATGGCCTCAGGTGTGAAGCGCTTTGGATCGGGATCGCCCCTGCGGTTTTGCGGTTCAACAACATGACACAGGGAGCCTGCGAGCGGCAGCCATGCCAGCCAATGCATGGATAGTCAGACGGGCTGATCTGGACCTGTCAACCCTGTCTGGCCGATGCTCTTCCCTGCTGTATCCGGACCGCATCAGCCACACCTTGGGTCCGGGGTTGGAGACGACGTTTGTAGCGACGCTGTCGTCAGAGCTGACGATGCCGCCCTGGGCGAGCGTGACCATAGTCGAGAGTAGGCTCATTTGGCTAGCACTCTGAGCCTGGTGAAGGTTTGAGACCATCCACCATCTTCTGCTCTTGTACCTACCTTGATGGGGTGGCACAGCAGCAAGCTGTTGTGAAAAATGTGCCACTCTTGAGGCTAGCGGGAAGGGTCGGTCGATTCAATCCAAGATGGCCACCACTACAAGCCACAGGTTGTGTCAGGAAGCCGAGAGGTAGGCTTTGGTCTTGGAAACCCCGCCTACGCTTCCTTCCTGGCACCAGCTTGAAACTGAAGGGATTTGTCGCTTGTCTAGGACATTCGTTCATAGGAAGGAAGAACAGGCAAAAAAGGGGGCGTTTGGAGAAATGGAAGACATGAGGTGAAGCTGGAGCACCCGCACACACACACACTCGCCGCAGTGTGGAGGTACCTTGGCACCTTGCAGCTGCACCTCCAGACTTCAGTCCGATCCAATGGCTGGCAATGTGGGCGGGGTGGGGCGATCCGTAGTTGGGTCATCCTTGCACAGGTATGACGACTTGCCGCGACTTCTCGCTGAAGCTCAAGCTCGTCAACTTCAGTTCTTAGAGGCAAGAGCTCCTAACCTCCAGTGACTTCCTGCCCGGTTGCCCCACAACGATCCCAAATGCCAAGGAGCCACTCTTTCCCGCTTCACAATGTGACAATTTCTCCATCGACCGTCAGACATTTGTTCCCGCATTTGCCTCCTCCTTTTGTCTGTTGCGCAACCCATCTGCAAACACCTCCACGTATGGCTGGTACACTAGTCGAAGTCGGAGCTGGAGCCCGTCAACCGTCACCGAGGCCGAGACACAGTCACACTTGCTCGACCAGGCCTCATGATACCGAGCTCACTACCAGATCGCGCTGAGGCTTACCGCCCACAGTCTCCCACTTTGACTAAACCAGAGGCCAACATCTCATTTCTTGAGACAAATTGGCATTCTACAATATACGCCCCATCCGTCACTCCCACAGACAGACTTTACGAGCCACAAGGTGCCCCATGCCGACTCTTTATACGGACCCAAGTCGTTGGGGCCCATCAAGAGACGAGCCCCCTGCTTTTCCAACCATGGACCTTCATCATCATCACCTCATAGCTTCCCTTCCTGGCCTGATTTGCTGCTGACGGATGGAGCAGATGAAAACATTACCCTGCGCACATGGAGTGCAGTTTCCTCCTTCTCTCCAAAGAACTCTCAGTTCGACCTCATACATATGCAGTCTTCGCCCATCCCTCCCATTGCATCTAGAAAGTTGCGACTGACTGCACACCCACCCGCACAATATCCAATTCTCCAATAGAACGGTACGCCGTTCGAGGGGGCGGAAGCTATGGTGGGCGGGTAGCTCAGCACACCACCTTGCAAACCACCAAACCCAACTAAACCCGCCGGCCACAGACCGCTCCCTGCTATGCCGGGACAGGCTTTATTATACGCAAAATGATCGGCAAAAACGCTTTCTCACCTGATTCCGACGTCTAATTTCTTTGTCGCTAACGACTTCACGGATTCTTCTATCTCGTGAGAGAATAAACAGTCATCGGCCGACTGCACGTCTCATGCCACTCGCTCTATTCTTGGCAATGGCCTCAATGCAAAGTTCCGGAACCATACGCGGCAGGCGTCGAGCTCCAGTCTCCAGAGGGCCCACCCCCGTCCGACATCTGCACCGCCGCGAGCAGGGAGGTATCTCTACCCGGCCGATACATCCCCACGTCACCGCACCTTTCCCTCCGGCCTGTGGGCTAAATTGCGGGGCACACTCCAACCTGCATCACCTGGCCCTTCTCGTGTCCTGCCCCCTCACGCCTAATGACAGCATCCGCGAATCAACCCGTCTGAGAGCTGCGGCACGGCCATTACCGACTGGCTGCCACGAAGCAAGGCACCATGTTCAGGTCAACCAAGCGAGCACAGTTCATCTCGATGGATCGGCCTTTTTGTGAAGATTTCCTGAGGCGTGGCGACGAAGCAAAAGACCTCATTGGAATAGCATGCTACCCAGGTATCTATCTATACGGCATCCTACAATTTCGACAACAACTTTTTCATCACACCGGTCATGTTGTACACCTAATCAACCCAATATCTCTGCCATCGTCCGTTATTGCAAGAAGCCACATGGAAACGGCTCACCGCGTATCGGGTTTCGGACTCTGTTCCTGATTCTGAAGTATTCGTCCCCAGCCTTTTCTAATTTGGTCAGGCTCATCTTCGCCCTTTGGCCTGGCAAGATGTCACCGCCACTATCCTCTCTTTTTGTCTTATATGTACAGAAGATCGGCTTCTCCTTGGGGCTATCGATTGCGCTTTGTCGCTGTATCGGCTGGGATTGAGGATGCATTGAGTCTGCAGGAAATGAAGTTGACGCCGAGTGTTGGCTTCGATGTTCTCGGAGTGGGGTCGGTCTCCGACGCCCGGGTGCCGATGCTCGACTTATGTTCACGGTTGCGGGCGCCGAGGGCTCGGAGTAAGACGTTTCTCTTTTCGTCATCTCTCCTTGAAGACCACTGTTTGGATTTGTTTGGGCGAGGACTCAGGAATACTGTATGGATGCACGGCAAAGCAAGTGCTGTTTATGTCGTGGCTGAGTGGGTAACACAGAGAGCGGGCGCAGATCAAAAGACTTCAAGTTGAGAAGGCTCGTTTGATGTCTGATTTGGCTTCTGGGGCGAGGACCCGCTCTGAGGGTTCCGGAGCCTGGCAACTTACTTATATGAAAAACGTATCAATGTTGGAATTTGGCTGAGGTGGCCGGTCTCGCATACCATTCCCCAGGTGGCCAGACTTTGTCAATGGGAATTGCACTTTTCTTGGCTGGATGTAGCGGCATGCATGACCCTTCGGCTTTTTGGGATTTTGATGTAATGGTGTTGTTGAAACCCAAGTGGAATTTCAACTCCCCAAATGACAATGCCAGCTTAGTTGCTGACCCAATGGCGGTGCAGAGAAACTTGCACTTTTCGACCCCCGGCCAAGCGGTGATTGGATCGTGTAAGGACTTTGCATACAGAGTGAGGTGCTATGAAATTACAATTCAATCCCAAGGCTACGTACTTGGTCCGCGGACTGGGAGCCTTACATGAAATTCAGCCTCAAGAAGGCGACGAGGGGCGGAGCTCGTTGGGCTTTCTTAGGTTATGAGGAGGACTCCAAGGCACTTCGTCTCTTGCGGAAGAATCTCGTTTGGCTGTTGGAAACTACAAGAATCATACAAAATGGAAGCAGAGTATATGCCGGCATTCGAAATGCTGGGCAACACCTTTCGGGCATTACCAACACAAAGTTGTACGATCAACGAACTCGATATGGCGAGAGGAGCAAAAGGAGCGAGCGAGCGAGCGACCAAAATCCCGGCGGAAACTTGGGAGAAACTGAGGCCGAGCATCTGCGAAAAATACAAGACGAATACTCATGAGGAGCTGATGGCTTTTATGAAAGATGAGCATGGCCTAACCGTTACGTACGTTTTCTCTGGAAAATCCGATTTTTTGGTACTGACTTTAGTTAGGAAACGCCAACTTGTCTACAGGCTAGGCGATATATGGGGATGCAAGAAGTATGGTCAGGGTCACAAGAACCCGTCCGAGAACTCTGAAGACGTGGATGCATACGGTGTCAAACCTGACGTCGGCATTGAGGACTCTGGCCCTGAAAATGCGGATTTTGTACAAGACAATGACTGCGGCTACGAGGCGTCTGATGAATTCACCCTTGCACCCATATCCGAAATTGTCTCTTGCATGGGCGATCGAATCACTCAAGATATCCAGACAACGAAAGCTGATGCAATATTCGCAGTCGCGGGCAGTCGCTATGCTTGGGAACGATACCAACACGGTCTCCTCATTAATAGGGAATGTTCAGACAGTCTCGTAGCTCTATGTCGATCGGCCGAGACTGAGAAACAATGTCAGGAAGCCTTGGGCCTCCTGAACACCCAGATTTGGCTGCCTCACGATCACCGTGCAAACCTTTGGCCCCTGCTATACGTTTATGTCTTAGAAAGTATGAATTCTGAGATGAATGAAAACAACAGCTGGTCGTTGGGTGGTCCCATTGTGGAGAAGCTTGTTCATGCTGTCTCCTCCATCCTCGACGGGCACGGCAAGGGCTTCCTGCTCAAACAAAGCGGTTCTATCGACCTATTCGCGTTCCATCTCTTGGACACCATCAACGAAAAGTATTACGCGCTTGTACCGGATATGGAAGAGCAACTCGACGACCTTTTATGCAGCATGCATGACTGGGTCCTGCGCACCGACAACCGCGGAACGGCGACATCCAGGGCTTTCACGACGCTGAGGCAGTGTGCAGGATGGTGCTGCCAAGTACTAAGTGATGTCTCGGGCACCCTCGGTCAGCCCAAGGGGCCTAATATCCAATCTTCTCATGACAAGATGCAGAAGCAGCGGAAGGAGCATCATGAAGTCTACGGGACGTTGTGGTACAAACTCGTCATGCAGCTACTCACCGAAGAAGGCGAAGGTGAAGGAGTGGGCTGCGGCGAAGACCGCAGTGCTGGGAGTGCCGAGTGGGCTCGCAATTCCCGAAGGGATTTGGGCATTTCGCAGTCAGAGGTGTTATCTTGCTTGTGCTGGGTCATTGTCTCCTACAGAGAGAACGCTGCGCATGTCCCGGGCGCTGCTGATATGGCGATAAATGGGTACGGCCATCTTGTAGATGATGGTGGTGACTCCCCTGAGCACTTTTCCCAGCGGGTTCAGGGCGCCGCCTATAGGATCGCGAACGCCCCATCGCGGGGATTGTGGAATGAGTTCCTAACTGCCTTCAAGATCTTCAACGACGTAATTGAAACGGATGGGGAAGACGGTCTCGATGCAGATGCCGACGCTGGGGGCGGAGACATGGACGCGAGGGCAATAGAGGATGGTTGTTTCAGGGAAGAGGTCATGACCGAGTTCGTGGCTTTCGTCGAGGAGGCTCTGAAGGAGTTCAAGTGAGAGTCTCCGATGTGATGGAGAAAGGGGTTGTTACCGAGTTTCCATGCGCAGCTGGCTGTCAAGGTTATTGGATGGCCTAGAAGCCTTGGGGAAGTCAAGATGATTAAGTTTAGTGGTCGGCACGCTGAGGGCTGTATGACATCCCATGTAGATTATTTTTGTCTTTTCATTTTACTGTTTCCTGAATCACGTAAATCTACTAAGTGAAGTTGACAGAGTAAAGAGACGATTCTTTCTTTGATTTTACGGCTGAAAAAAGTCTTGTTAACTCCACGAAGCGTTCTATCGAATTCCACCTCGTAGATTTCTGCGAGAATAAATCAATTACTCTCATCTTATGGATGATCGATGGTGGTATCTCATTTGTATGATGCGAAGGGAAAGATGGATGGCATACAGATCGTAGTTGTTCCCGCACACTGATGTCAGACGGCCCCGGAGCAACCAGGCGATGGCCAGATTCGATATAAAAGGCGAGACGAGCAGGCAATTTTGGGTAGTTATCTATGGCAGCAATAGCTTCTCCGTCTTGAGAGAGTATCGACTCTCTAGAGCGTTTATGTGTGCTTCAATTTTGACATGAAAGTGGATGACTTCATGGGTGTATTTGCCATGGAGGTGCCGGACTTGAATCGAGTTTATACATCTAGGATCTGCCATCCGGCGTTTCTCTAGTATACGAGGTAGAATACATGGGAATAGGGGATGGATAAGTACTACTTTTGAGGATGCCTCTTCGGCAGCTGATATTATGGCCCAAAGCAGCGGCAGCTAGGCTGGATGGCTCATCGCAGTCCTGACGCCGGAGACGACTTCGATCGGAATTCGCGCGAAGGCTGAGAATTGGTGCAGGATTCTCCAAGGAGACCCAAGGTGCTGAGCTAGGTAATCAGGGATACTTCAGAAGATGCTTTTATATACTTCTCGTACGGGAGTTTGCAAAGCCAGAAGTATCCAGTATGCGTTGAGAGGCCGCACAAAAGGTCATTGATATGTAAGAAAGTGGAATATGGAGACATTCGACTTCCCATCTTTCCTTTTGATTCTGTACGAGGCGTGCATCCGTCGGCAGCTCTATATTGCGAATTACCTCGAAACATCTGGGTACTGCACCCCCAAGGGATAGAGCCACTTCACCTTGGCATCGCCAACATGTAAAGCAGCGTGGAAGGTGATTAGTCCGAGTGTCAATGAGTAAGGCAAAGTAATTTCTGCAGGTAACAGGTGGGGAGGCTGGAAAGTCCCAATTGTCGGCAGAACCTTCCGGCAGAACCATCCCCGGATGATGTATACGGCATCAAAGCTCGCCACAGACCTCGAGCAGGTTTTCTCGTCTTCAATTACCTCGCGCCCCCCCATACTCCAAGACTCCAGTAGAGACAGCGAGCGGGCGAAAAGTTTCTGGAAACACCAGAGTCTCGGAAATATACACCGATGATTGGCTTTCCGGCCGTAAGGGGGGAGCGGTGGCCGGTTTGGTGGTCGGCGGGAATCCCTCTGTGCTATTAAGAATTCAGAAGGACGTGGCAGGGTGTTCGTCTTGAAAGGCTTGGCTGGTTGTGACTTGGCATCTTGTTATGAGCAGTGAGCAGACGGTTGGGTTGCCCAGGGATTCCAGCTTGAGGGGGTTTGAGTCTATTCGCGAAATCGGAGTGGCTTCCATCCGAGAAAAGCTCAACCGCCCCCCCCTTTCCCTTAGACTCAAGCCACTGGAAGTTGTTTAAGAACGCGAATAAGAATCCGAAAAATGAAATAAAACCATACGGCAGTAATGCAGAAAATATGGCTGTCAAGGGCTGGCTGTCAAACGATGGCAGAGCCGCGAACGGGCAGTAGCGTCACTCATTGATTGTTGGAAAGAAAGCTAGACCCAAGCAAAACCGCAGCATTTCAAAGCACATTCCCAGATGGGGAGTCTTCTCCCCCTCTCCCCTCTCCCTAAACTAGAAGTAGAACCTTTATCCAGGCGAGCACTAAGCACTTACTTTATAAAATCTACGGTACGCTAGGAAACTTTATGAGGCGGCTTAAACGCCGACGGTGATTTCACTGGTCAGTTCGGCTCTGGTAGATTGCTGGTTGCGAACTATGATTGTTTCTTATTCCACAATATTGCAATGTAATTGCAGGGCTTGGGTTGGTACTTTCCGCCAATCAGCATCAACTGTCGCTTGTTAAAACTATTGGAGTCTCCATTGCCCGGTATTTCTTTTGGATTCCTAGTCGTCGTTTGGTGTGAACTATGAAGGCATTTTGGAGGGTGGATCGTTGTTGTACAAAGAATGTTGTTGCTGATGATGATGGGAAAGTTGATTTTCCTCGACACGAGGATGGTGTGGGGCAGGTAACCGACGAAAGAGCTCTCGATTCGTAAACTTCCCATGTGTTTTTTCTTTGTATATGAGATGCCTACTTGAGATACTAAGTGTGCACCTGTCCACATGCTCACCCGCAATTCTGGATCAAGACCATAGCGCCTAAAGGCAAATTAGACGAGCATCCGGCCGTAGGCGAGCAGACCAAGTCTCGCTTGTGCATTTCGACATGTCATGGGTGAAGCTTATCAGGCGTGACTCCGGATACGTAGACGGCTGGTGAGGCTTGGCCGCGCATTTCTTACTTGCGACCTGTAACAATTGTAAATTCCATGAATCGAGAAGGCTCCCTTCAATCCAAAACTCGATGAACGGGATTTTCCGTGAGCAAACAATCTGGATAGTGACAAAATAGACACTAAGAGAGAATGCAGGGCCAAGTGTATCCCGCCTCCTTGGAACGACTCCACATCCCGAGAACGGTATTTCTTCTCTCGGGAAAGAGCTCGTCCGCGATTCTTGCGGAGCGCTGATGACTCGCTGATATGGGAAAAGGGCAGAATGCCATCCTTTCGAAACTCGGAAGCTGCCCGGCTCCGAGATCCGGAGTGGGGACACATGTCGAACCGGAAGGCTAGCCTGTGTTGACCAAGATGCCATGAGGCTAGATGGACGTCCTTTAGCCGCTTTATCCGGTATGAAGGGGCATTGAATGCCGTGCCAAATGGACTCGCTGAGCAGAACTTCTCCATATAAGGGAGTCTGGACCACTCTGCATGCGTGTTCGTTTCGTAAGGCAAACCACTCCCTCCACCTGTTGTCTCTCGCTTCTCGGTCGAGACCCTTTGAGATAGTGAGGTATGCATTACCGAGATTGCCACTGAGTACGTAGCCGGCTCACTGAATGGAATTGGATATTGTTGGGCGCGGCTGAAGAAGGGATCAGAGACGGTTCCAGAGACGTATCTCGTAAAGCTCAATCGGGCATTATGATCGTGAACTGACTGACTATTCTGTTTCGTTAGCCAGCATGTGATCTCGATCTCACCATTGCTGGCATTATCAACCTCTAAAAAGTATTGAGACAGCATGTGAATAACGGTTGCGACATGTGTTACATGAAATGAATGAGTCTCTGAGCGAAGTAGGTGGCGGGCAATACGTCCAAAGCCTCAGTGTCTTGCGGGTTCAGGTGTGTTTTGCGGAGGGCATGAGGGAAAACGGGCAGAGGCTCACTGCTTGTCTTAACTTTAATGGCGCCCTTTCCCACCAATTCGGTAAACTTGGCAACGATCGGTCCGGAAGGCTTCTCGTATTACGCGAGAGAAGCCAACCCGTTCCCTCGCTTGCCTCGTTGGAACTGCTGGAGGGCTGAAAAATGCCTGGGAATGACGTGTGGTAATTTGTGAGACATGAGAGCTGCAGGGATGTAAGTCACCCGTGGCTGGCCTAGACAGCTGCCGTCTTGGGGGTCCTTTTGATACTTTTTTTCGGGCTGGCGAGGCTTGCATGAAAATTGATGCTTGAAAGAGTAGGTTCCTGAGTGGTTTGGAATCCTGGCTGCCCGATGCAATCGATACAGCGGCCGCCGAATTTCGGTATGAATTTAGGAGGACTGCCGATGAGAAGAGTAGACGATAATACGCTTGCGGCTGACTTCCTTGGCTGCTCCGAGTCATATAGAAGAGGTTTGTGGGGAATCAAGCCTCATGATAAGTATAATGAGAAAGAAAGTGATCATGTATGCAGTGTGTACACTCGTCCGGTGACAATTGGGGTACAAGGCAAGAACATCATGAAGTTGACGTGACTGCCCGAGAGGCGGCGATGGTGCGATAGTGGCAGGCAGAGATACCTCACAAAAGAATGTTAGGGAAGGCCCCGGCGAAGTTGGACTGGGCGGGACAGGCCTGTGTCTCTGTGATAGGATCGAATCATCGATCGACGGCAGGAGGAAATGAGTTCATCCGTGGCGGGAATTGGTTGGCTCTTTCCCTGCAAGCCGGTATCTTTCTCTCCCTTACCTCATTGATGTCGGGGAAACGGAGCGCAACCACATTGCTGGGCCCTTGCCAAGGCGACCTAAACAACAGAGTTGGCTTACGGATACTGATACCTACTCTTCTTGTCTGCCATTGCTATCATGTACATGGCCGAGGTCGATAGGGCGAAAGCTTAGATACCAGGATGCGGACAGAGTGAGACATACGAAGACATGGGAAGCGCGCACCCGTACCTCACCCAGACGGCACTCTGGCCGCCCTGAACCCAGTGGTATTCCCCCTCACCGGACATCAGCGGTGTCCGAGATATGGCGTGCAGAAATGCTCTTCAGCCCTGCTCGAATTGAGGTGCAAGGCGGCCCGACCATGGCAGGCCATGGGCAATCTCTCGGTCCCGGGCTCTCTGGGATGTCTACGGTCTACGGAGCCATGGAGGTACGGAGTACGGAGTAAAGGTCTGGTACAAATAGGAAAGACCTGGGGACATGACCTGCATATCTGTTCATGGGTGGTGACAGTGGGATGCCGGACCCAGACACCGAGGAAAGCTGTCTTTCACTGAGGGCATCGGGATGAAGGGGCGGTCAGACATGACTTTACTATGACGGACGATCCCTGAAGATGCTGCTGAGAGGCACAACCTAGCACAACCAACCAGGTCTCCTCCAGCCGCTCCTTTGAGGAGATGCTGGGAGTGGTCAGGAAAAGTCGGAGCTGAAAGCGCGCATTCATGGGTGCTGCTGCTTGGTACCCTAATAAGATGGCTTACTTCCAATTTGAGAGCTCGACTTTGAGGAGGAGGGGGAGACTG